AGATCCATTTGTATATAGAAGGATACATGTTCATCGAATGCTTCTATTGACCCATATAAATAAGTGAACATTTAACATGGAATAAATACTCGTGCTCATTCTCTATAAATTGCTCTATGTATATAGTTTCACGACCGGCTGAAAAAGAAAGTATACTTTATCAAGTGATCTCTTATCTAACAGCTGCATAAAGTTATTCTATCGATCCTATTCTAAATATTAAAGAAAACATGATTTTCATGTTTTCGTTTTCTTTAATAGGAAAAATGCTAGAGGATATGAATAATCAAAGTGATGCATTGATGTATTTAACACGTGCATTTGAAATGTATGATAAGGCATTAGCCGAGACGGAACTGAATGAAANAATTGCATTTTCTAGTATTGGCATTGAAAAGGTTGGTGTTAAACATTTTCAGCGTGTGCTTATCATGAAAAGAAAATGTCTTCCACGTGATCATCCTGATTTCGCCACCATATATAATAGTATGGCTCTCAATTACTGTAATTTGAAAAAACATTTGTTGGTATTGAGATATTCATTCAAAGCGCGTCGTCTTCTCAAACGAATTAAAGTATTGAATTATCCAGATATGGCTGGAAATCTGAAGAGTTTTAGCGATGGTCTATTCAAATATCGGTTGTTATCGAAGAGCGATGCATTGTCTTCGTCGAGCAGAGAAGTTAATAAAGCGATTAACATCGAATGACAATACCGAGCGAGAAATGACGTGAAACGTGATATACAAAGCCTCAAAAAAAGATACAAAATATAGCGAAAAAGAAATATTAGAAATTGCAAAATCCGAAGAGACACTTTAATTGAGGGTATGATGAGTGTTTAGAGTAACTAGGAGACCAGGTATTTCGATCATGCTTGAGATACAATCTTATCAAGTGATACGAAGGATACTTGTATAGCTGATGAATAATTCTATGGAATAGGGTGTGGGTGTGGATGTTCATATTGATACTACTGTGTGGAACTACAGTCGCACTCGCATTCACAACCATACCCAGACCTAAAGACATGAAAACAATAGTAAATATGTTCCATCGTTTCATTCTCGAAATATGAAGTCTTGAATAGGAATAATTTAAAAACAAATGAAACATAAGCGAAGATTCCAAAAGATAGTTTTTTCTACTATCTAAAAATAATGATGATCGATGACTGAGAAATGTAAGACACAAAATGAATCATAAAGTTATTTGGGCATGCATTAATTTTAATTGAAAACGAAATTAATTTATCGATGACGAATATCTGTTTTTCAAGAGTTAAAATTTTCACTACAACATTGGACGGATAAGAAATGGCGCATATTTTCACGATATAGTAGTGTGCGTCTCGGTGCTGCTGGCAAAAACTTTGATAAAGACACCCACACCTTCAATCAGGAATCACAGTTGAACTTGAGCACTTTATTCTACGAAAAATGTAAGGTGCCGCTAAAGCAGAATTGGAGTAAATTTTGTTTCTCGTTTGTTTATATATGGTTTGATAGAGCTTGAAAAGTTGATCAAGAATATGTACTTTTTATTTCGATTTCATATTTTTTTGGCTGAGAAAATCTTCAAAAACAAGAACGACTGAAAAAATGCTGTTTTTATGTTAAATTTAAATTTTTTACAAAAACTACCAAATTTCTTTTTCAGTTATTTTCTGAGCATTTT